CAGAAACAGTAAAAATATTATCTCTAGAAACTTTGAACTTTAGAAAACAAAATTTTAGCTATGGTGAATTAGAACAAAAAAACTTATCGCCCCCCATTGAGAGACATCATTTATCTAAATTCCACTTAAAAATGTCTGCAAGACAAATGATGAACTTCGTACACTTCTTTCCTTTAATAATAGGCGATTTGATACCTGAAAATGATGATGTTTGGATTTTTTTTTTAAATTTTCTAGAAATAATTGAAATTGTACTAAGTCATGAGTTGTCACAGCAAAGTTCTGTTTCACGTTTAAAGTACTTGATTAATAAACACAATTCAAATTATATACTATTTTTCAATGACAATTTAAAGCCTAAACATCACATATTAACCCATTATCCATCAATAATCCTTAAATCTGGGCCACCCAGATATTTTTGGTGTTTTAGGTACGAGGCTAAGCACAAAGAACTTAAAATGTACGCTAGGGCAATTACTTCTAGAAAAAATATTTGCTTAACATTAGCCATAAAATATCAATTGAAATTTGCACACTTTTTACTTAATCAAGATATTCATAAAGATTTTTCCACTTCCAATAAACATAAAATTGATTCAGATCTCGAATTTATATCAAATAATTTGAACATAATGCCATCTAACAATTTTATTAGTTATTCTGTAATTGATTTTAAGGGAACAGTTTATAAAATAGGAAACTATGTTAGTAGTTTTAAGCATGACGTTTGTTTGTATGAAATACTTGAAATTATTATAATGAACGAAAGTGCTGTATCATTTATCGTTCACCAAATTCAATTAGATTCATATAGCACTCATATGGGAGCATATGAAGTCAACAAACATAAAAATATAATTTCAAAGAGCATTATTAGTATTGATGACATAAGTGGTCCACCAATAAATGTTAATCAAGTCTCCAATGGAAGACTCATGGTTAGACTAAAGAAGTATTTTTAAATAAACTTTTTATTTTATGTTTAATTCATAAAGTAAAATAAAACAAATCTATATATGTATATAGCCAATTTATATGATTAAGCTTTTGTATTTTATATGTATGTACAAAGTTGTATAATGTTTAGTCATATTTTATCTGCATCATTTTTTTATCACAATACATTTGTTATTATTTATATTTTGTTTAATGTTATCCCTATGTCTACAATTCTACATAAACATAAAACAAATTTGTTATTTTAATCCACGTTCATACATATAGTAATTGTTTAAGAGGACGCCACACCGAAAGCGAAACGTAATCAACGGCCGAGAGAACGCGCTGTTAGGTGTTTTCGTGATGCGCAAGCACGCGGCGTTTAAGCCGCGCCCACTAGTCGTCGTCGGCGGCCGGCCGACGATTGTGCTCATTCGGGAGCAACGTTTATTATTTTCTCAACCTTCGTTTGTGGCGGGTCGCGTAAATATAAAATGTATGGTGCATACCTACACGTTACACGTACATTATGCCGCATTGCCACCGTAATATTTTTAATATTCGCGCATACTTACGCGACCTGTATTTGTTGCGTAATAGTATTATATTAGTTTTATATTGAGTATATTTTGAATGTTTAAGCTATAATTTTGTATTTTTGTAATAATATGTGTAGGTACCTACCCTACGTAGCACATATAATTTTTATCTGAGTATCTGACATTTTTTGCGTAGTTTTAAACATGATAAATATTAAAGCCATCTATTTTCACGGACCTAAGCTGTTCGAACACCGATCCTCTTGGCGCGTTTCAGCCGGGTCAAAGGCCATCGTAGCGCAAGTGACAGTCCGGTCTACACACTTGTCTAGTTTTCCCCCCGAGTGGTCAAGCTGTGATCGCCGTGAACTTGTCGCCGCCGTCTCGATCGACGCGTCAACTCTGTCGCGCCATATACACTTTTGTCATGACTGTCGTCTAAACCGGTCGACCTGTGTTGTTGCCGCACTAGGCCCGACACCTTTATGTACGTGTGTGCCCGGTTACGTTGCCCGGTGGCATAGGAACCACGTGCCCTGTTATTGTCAATCCGGTGTTTATATAAACTTACGTCTTGGTTTATTTGTTATGTGACGTAGTAATATATTATTATATCCAATAACCGTCGGCCGTATTCATATGTGTATAATATATATGCATATTGGATCGTATACATATACGTCGTCAAGCTGGTCCTATAATCATCTACCACACCAGTGAGGAGTGTCAATTTGGATCCGAGGATCGTGACTACTGGATACTCAGGTCTATAAGTTGCATTATTGTATTGTATACCATTATTTGGCCTTAAAGGTGAATTTAGTATTTATATTTTTGTACTATTTATTATTATAGTTATTTAGGTGCTATTTATTATATTGATTTTGGGGCCCCGTGTTACTTTCATATTATATTTGTAAGTTTGTTTGTAGCACTTTGTGACAGTGTCACATTAATATACATATTATTTATAATTTATATTTAATTGATCTTATAATCATTTGTTGTTATTATTGGTCACCCAGTTCATCTCTGTCTATCATCTGCGCAAGTTGCGGCAGAAAACTGCATTCTATCGTAAGCTCTGTCGCAGCGAAAACATTTGGTAGCAGAGCGTGGTTTTTGGGACCCGGGGAGGTTCAGTGAGCGTAGGTTGTAGACGTTTATCTAATTGGGCAGTGGCGTAATTGCGGGGGGGCAAGGGGGGGCAATTGCCCCCCCAGAAATGTTTGTGGGTGGGCAAAAGTATCATTTTGCCCCCCCACAAATAATCCACATTTAAAAAGTATTTTTAACAAGACTGTTAACATATTATTATAATATTAAAATATTTTTTTCCTCAAATTACTTTATAAAAGTTTAAATTTATTTTATGTTTCTCTTGTTGAATAATATTACAATGTTGACGTATTGTCAGTGTTATGGCAATAATCGCATTACTCGTGACTATTATTATCCGTGATTGGGGAACACGTTATTATCTTGAAATCGAGATTATGACTACAGGAACGTACGGCTGAACGGCAGGTTAATTTTAGATCAATAACAAGTAACTGATAATGGTATATTAGTATAATAAAGATAATTATTATATTATTTTGTCTTGCTAATTCCTTATATCACTGTTCAGTTGGACTTGTACTTGTCTTATTACGACATTATATTCTGTTACGTTACGATAGTGTGCTTTCCTAAAAAAATTATTAATTACGTTTTTTAAAAATATGTCAAATAAACGACAGTTGACGTTGGTCGATTTCATGTCATCGAGATCAAAAAAAACTACAAATGTCCAGACCAGTGAGTATTACTAAAATATTTAATACATTTTTGAAACAAAAGTTTTTTTCCTACCATTCTTACTAAATAATTTTAATTTTAATGGTTCATATTATGAACAGATAAAATAATAAGTATCTAGTAAAATTATTTCATTTAAATTTATCCACTCAAAAATTAATGAATTAAAAAATGGTAATTTTTATACATATTATACTAAATTCTAGTATAAAGATTCTTATTATGTATTTATTATTTAACTATAATTTAAAGTAGTTAATATATGATTATTAAATTTATTGTATTTTAGGAAGTGTAGAAATACCTGAAAATAGTGCCACAAATGTGGATAACACTATAAATGAAGATATTTTGAATATTCCAAAATCTGAAAAGTCCACAAATGTCCAGAGCATTGAGTATGAAATTGACTGTGATCGTGATCCAGGTAGAAATTTCAAAAATGCATATAACTTACTTTGTTCTGGTCTCGGTCCATATCAGCCAACTGATTGTAACTTCCCTAAAGTTCTTAATATACTACAAGCTATGAAGGATGTTATTATCAGTGAAAAACCGGAAAATAATTCAATAAAATTAGTATGTGAAACATATAACTTAGATTTTAATGAAGTCACTATTGAGCTTGCTATGTTTAATCGAATGTTCAAGACAAAGTATGATGAGTTTAACATCGATAATAAAATAGCATATTTGTTATGTGGTGATATACAAATAGGATTTACAAACTACACAAAAATTATAAAAATATTTTTGACTATACCAACAAATACTTCCTCTTGTGAAAGAACATTTTCCTGCTTAAAACGCCTAAAAAGTTACTTAAGAACCAGCATGGGACAAGAGCGCTTAAGCGGGTTAGCATTATTACAAATTCAAAGAGAAGTGCCAATAGATTTTGACAAAGTAATTGATGAATTTGTTTCGAATGGAGTAGGAGGTAACAGAAAACTCACACTAAAATAACAAAAAATAAAACCTATTCTTTCTTTTATTTGTTAATAAAGTAATTAAATTATTTGATGGTTATTTATTTATTATTTATTGTTCCCCAAGCATAAAATATGTCAATATGTGTATATAATATTTATACTACTTACCTACTTTTTAAACTACTCATAGCACATTTTATTAATGACCTCTCTAGGTACTTAATAATATTTAACAATATGGGTAACTGTTACCTACGGGCTACAATTTGTTTCTAACATAGACAGTATAAACATATTATTCATATTATTAAAAAAAAATTAACCAATTTTATTAATTTAAAAATCGGTTTTTAATAACCATGAAATGTAGGATCAATATTAACCGATTTTTTAAACCGAAAAAAATTAAAGAAGAACTAAAACCATTAACCACAAAAATCATTTCGGTTTGAAGCCTTGGTTTTAAGACTAAATCAATGTAGGGGTCAGGGACTCAGGGTTTTGATTATGGTGAATAAATTACATTTCCCCCCCTAGTTTTTTATCCAGTTACGCCACTGTAATTGGGTATTTATCTGGGTGCCAACTTAGATTTTATTTTTATATATAACAGGTTTAGTTAAGTATTTATTCACTATCTTGAATTTAATTTGTCACGCGGTCACGTATTTTACGCGCGTTTGATTTATCAAGTTTATTATTGTCCGACAATTGCTCGTGTATACTGTATTGTGTTAGTATTATTATTTCACGTATTATCGTAGTTAGTCGTAGGTAGATTGTCATCATGACGGACATAAAGGACCTTGACCGGTTAACTCGTGGTAAGGCCCGCGCGGAAGTACTGCGTACAACGGTAGTAGCCAGCATCAGGTCGGTTCACGAACTTGCGTTACGTGTCTCGAGTGAACCGAATGTAGTTCCTCAATTTTTAGTTGCCGTGACCGACCTCGATATGCTGTGGACTCCATTTAAACTTGAGGACGAGGCGGTTTTAGGCTTTCTAGTTAGCCTAGACAAGATTAGCGAGTACGCGTCAGGTCTGCCGGCCGAAGTCCGTGCACTTATCACCGAATCAAAAGCGATTGCTGATAGTCTCATTCCAAAAGGCGCGGATGCCGTCGATATGTCATACATCAATTCAAATTTTATATCTCGAAATGTTCCGACCCCATTAGCACCGCCGACCGTTATTAATAATTCTAATTCGCGTCTGCCGGAGATACCGCTGCCCAAGTTTGATGGGGATTTCAAGTATTGGCCTACCTTTCGAGATAGATTTAAAGCGTTGGTTGATAGTAGGTCCAATTTAACGCCTATCGATAAGATGTATTATCTAATCGGCTGTCTACGCGGGTCAGCTGCGGAAGCCGTGCGGAGCATACCGGTTGCGTCTGATAGTTACGATTTAGCATGGACAACTTTATCGAATAGGTTCAATCGCCCGCGTATGGTCGCGACATCTTTAGTCGACAAATTGTTGAACGTCCCGTCGTCCACTCAAGAGTCACTCCCGGAGTTAACAAGTTTCTTGTGTGAGTTCAGCGAGTCCGTGTCATTATTGAATGCGCTGAACATTCCGGACCTCAGTTCATTTTTATTATTCGCGCTAGCATTCCGCCGGCTCCCTATCTCCACCCGTAAGCTCTTCGAATCAACCGTGAAATCCGACTACCCGTCAATGAGTGAGTTACTAACCTTTGTTGAGTCGCGGGTGTCTATATTAGAGCTCGTCGGCGATCCGTCGAGTAAAACCAACAAGGGTACCACGGCATCAAAACCATTTTACGGCGACCAGTTGCGTAAGGGGGGAGATCGGCATAAAGGGCAACAGTCGTCTCATGTTACATCATTCGTTACCGCCGAGTCGAATAAGTCTTGTCCGTGTTGCTCAGAGCCTCACTTATTAGAGTCGTGCCCCCGATTTAAGTCCTGGACAGCCGATGACCGTACACGTTGGACCCGGGAGAAAAAATTATGTTTTATGTGTTTTAGTGCTAGTCACTGGTCTAACCAATGCAAGTCTAAGACCCGATGTCACTTATGTAATCGCAGGCACCACCACCTGGTTCACATTCAACCGACCGAACAACGCAATAGGAACGAAGCTCCGCGGTCCGATACGTAGTTATGCGCGTCTGCCGCGTTACACCAGTCTAGCGCCAGCTCCGTTGTGTTGGGTACAGCTTTAGTACATGTGCGCGATCGCGTGGGGGAGTGGCAAATGATGCGCGCGTTAATCGACTCGGCGTCGCAAATTAGTGCCGTAACGACTGCATGTGTTGACCGTTTAAAACTGAAATGTACACGGTGGACATCTCCGGTGACCGGGTTAGGCGGCGTTCCCGTTGTAAACGTGCAAGGGCGCGTTGAGTTTTCCGTTCAGCCTCGGTTCGCGGTCGAACCAGTATTAGCTGTACACGCGTGGGTCCTACCGTCAATCACGGCCGACTTGCCGCGCACTACGTTGCCATCTACTATGAAAGATAGGTTTTCAGATCTGGCGTTAGCCGACCCCACATTTAACGTCGCCGCGCCTATTGATATATTGTTGGGGGGTGATATGTACCCGTCCATAATGAACGGTAAAAAAATAATTGTCGATGATAGTCTACCGGCCGCATTTAGCTCCATTTTCGGTTGGGTACTAATTGGTCCGGTATCTAATAATAAAATAGGCCCCGTCCACTCACTGCCCGTTTCTCTTACCGCGTCCATCGAAGGGTTAATGGAAAAATTCTGGCATGTGGAAGAGCCGGTCGCGGCGCCCGACAATTTTACTGATGAGGGGAGATGCGAATCTATTTTTCGCGAACAATTCATACGTCTACCATCAGGTCGTTTTTCAGTACCACTACCGTTTCGTGTATCCGTATCCGACAGCACTTTCGCCGGGTCGCGGGATACCGCCGTAAGACGTTTCGAGTCTTTAGAACGTAAGTTGTCGGGGGACCGCAAACTCCGAGAACTGTATGTTAATTTTATGCGCGACTACATATCATTAGGTCATATGTCGATCGCCACGTCACCGGGCACGTATTATATTCCCCACCACGCCGTGTATCGGCCTGAAATTGATAATAATAAATTACGTGTCGTGTTCGATGCATCAGCGGGTAACCCCCGCGGGCCATCGTTAAATAGTTGCTTATCACCTGGTCCAAAATTGCAACAAGATATTGTCGACATTATCACGCGGTTCCGATTATACCGTCACGCCTTCACGGCTGACATTGAAAAAATGTATCGACAAATTTCGGTGTTACCAACTTATCGCAAATATCAATATATAGTATGGCGAGAATCACCCTATGATAAACTGCGTGATTACGAACTGCGTACCGTAACCTATGGCGTAAATTGCGCGCCATTTCTCGCGTTGCGCGTGTTAAAAGCAATAGCGGCTGAAGATTGCGATAAATTTGTATCGGTCCGAGCGGCATTAGAGCGCCAAACGTACGTCGATGATATTTGTGTCGGGGCGGACACAGAGCAGGAGACTCTCGAACTCCAATCAAACTTAATTATGGTTTTGAAAATGTCCGGTATGGAATTAAAAAAGTGGTCGTCTAATACGTCATCTGTTCTAAATTTAATTCCGGCCGATAGTCGCGCGTCGGGACCGCTCCCGTTCGATACAGGCGATAGGTATAGCACGAAGATGTTAGGGATCGAGTGGCATCCGGATCGCGACAACTTTTGTTGTGCACTTCGTCCTGACCCCACGCCAGTGTTCACTAAAAGGGGCATATTGTCATTAGTAGCGCGCATCTTTGATCCGCTAGGCCTTTTTGCGCCCTCAACTTTCCTCGCAAAATCTATAATGCAACGGACATGGTGTAGTGGGTTAACGTGGGATGCGCCCCTACCTGATGATATCCACGCGGACTGGGCCGCTTTCGTCGCTGACTTAGCATCGTTACTTACTATCCGAGTACCGCGGTACGTAAATACGCGACAAGGATCACCGTGCTTATTATTAGGGTTCTGCGACGCGTCGCAGCTCGGGTACGCGGCCGTAGCGTACGTGCGTGTCATTGATGCCCCGCCGGATAAATGTATTTTTTTACTTGGAGCGAAGACCAAATTAGCGCCAGTAAAGAAGTTAACTGTGCCGCGCCTAGAACTGAATGCGGCGGTACTGCTGGCCCGGTGGTTAGGACGTTTGCGTCATATTTTAGCGCCGCAATTAAATATAATCAATACTCACGCCTGGTCCGACTCGACCATAGCCTTGTCATGGTTGACGGTTCCACACGATTCATTCAAAACCTATGTGTCCAATCGCGTGTATCAAGTCCACAACATACTACCCAATTGCCAGTGGCATCACATAGAGTCCTCCAACAACCCAGCCGATTGCGCGTCGCGGGGCGTCATGCCGTCGGAACTCGCGCATTTGTCGCTTTACTGGCAGGGACCACCCGTAATATATTCTGATGCGTCACTTTGGGAACCCAGTCCTCCGCCGACAAATATATGTGAATTACCCGAAGCTCGACCAGTTGTTTGCGCCGGCCGTGCCGATGATGTGCCCGACGAGTGGTTCGCATCTTTCTCGTCATTTGATCGATTGATCCGAGTGACAGCGCGCGTTCTCCGTTTTATTAGTCACTTTCGCGTATTTCGTAAACGTAATTCATGCCTGCTTCCACCCGCTAATCTATACAATTCGGACGACGGCCGTGTTCCGAATTTATCCGTGTATCTATCTAAGTTTGAGCTTGACTACGCGACTCGTATTATCATATTAGAATCACAACGCGTTCATTTTGCCGTATTGCGCCGTGAACTGTCACATACCGCGCGCGTGTCGTCACGGTCATTGGCTAAACTGTCACCTTTTATTGATGATAGCGATTCGGTGATACGTGTAGGCGGTCGCTTGAAACATTCCACGTTAACCTACGAGTGTAAGCACCCTATACTACTGGCAAAAGAGTCGCACTTAGCTAGATTGATAGGTGAAAGATGGCATCGATTGACGTGTCATTCGGGGCCCCGGGTAATGGCGGCGCTCATACTACGACAGTATTGGATCGTTTCGATCAGGTCGGTGTTATATAAAGTAGTATCACGTTGTACCGTGTGTGTGCGATTAAACGCAAAACCAGTTCACCCCTTTATGGCAGATTTGCCCGCCTCGCGCGTTCAATCATGTAAGCCTTTTGCCCGTGTAGGCATTGATTTCGCCGGACCGTTACAAATGCGTGAACTTGGACTCCGAAAGTCCCGCATTGTCAAAATATACATATCTGTATTTGTTTGTTTCACTGTTAAGGCCGTGCATCTAGAGGTGGTGTCCGACTTGTCGACGAGCGCGTTCCTGGCCGCGTTCGACCGTTTTGTCGCTCGACGGGGATTACCTACCGACGTATACACAGATTGCGGTACGAATTTTATCGGGGCCAATAAACAGTTACACGCGTTGATCAACAGTGCGGATGGTCAAGTAGCCTTAGCTAACGCGCGTACCGCCTGCGAGTGGCATTTTAATCCGCCAAGCGCCCCGCACTTCGGAGGCTTGTGGGAGGCGGCGGTTCGTTCAACAAAAAGGTTGTTGACTCGTGTGATCGGCGTCCACTTGTTTACATACGAGGAGTTCACAACCGTACTAACACGTAAGAGGCCGTACTGAACTCTCGGCCATTAACTCCCGCGTCTTCCGACCCCCACGACCTTGAATGTTTGACGCCGGGGCACTTTTTAATCGGCCAACCATTGTTAGCTGTACCGCCACGGTCGAGTCCCGATGAAAAACGTAACCTCCGAGATAGGTGGAAACTGCTCGATCAATATCACCAGGCTTTTTGGCGGCGTTGGTCAGCCGAGTACTTGACCACACTTCAGGAGCGACCTAAGTGGACTCACAACGTGCCCAACTTAAATGTCAACGATATGGTAGTAATAATAGACAATAACAGTGCTCCATTAATGTGGCGGCTTGGTCGTGTGATGGAGGTGTCACCGGGAGATGACGGTACAGTACGTGTCGCCAAGGTGTTGACCAGTACTGGGGTAATTACGCGACCTGTGGTCAAGCTAGTACCATTACCCGTCGACGAATAATCGTAAATCTATACAGTATTCCCCGCACCGGTCACCTGTCATTTTAAGGTGGTTTTTTATTTATTTATAGTCGTTCACTGAACCACCTTGGGTACCGTAAGAATCAGCGACCATAATATAATTATTTTATATATATTTTTTTTGGTATTATTGTTTATTTATTCATCTTGTATGCATGTACCTTGAGTATATTATTTAATTGTTTTATTCAACCGGCACTGTCGTCCTATGCGAATGTATGTTATTAAATTTATAATGCCGATAAATGTTTGTTTTTGTATACATCATGTTTGTTATCTTTTAATTATTAGCTTTTGAGTCTCATTTTGTACGGACCATATGTCCATTGTTTTGTTTTTTTTGTATTTTGTATTCTTTTTTTTTTTTACACAGTCACCATATTAATAACATATTGTAACAACTTGACCTGAGGCTGGTGTCTATCACGCATAGTCTGGTGCACCACTTTTCGCCCATCCAGTGTTCAACTGCGGATCCAATATCAAATTCTAGGAACGTCCAGTGATGCAGAGCGTCACAGGGGGAGGATGTTCGAACACCGATCCTCTTGGCGCGTTTCAGCCGGGTCAAAGGCCATCGTAGCGCAAGTGACAGTCCGGTCTACACACTTGTCTAGTTTTCCCCCCGAGTGGTCAAGCTGTGATCGCCGTGAACTTGTCGCCGCCGTCTCGATCGACGCGTCAACTCTGTCGCGCCATATACACTTTTGTCATGACTGTCGTCTAAACCGGTCGACCTGTGTTGTTGCCGCACTAGGCCCGACACCTTTATGTACGTGTGTGCCCGGTTACGTTGCCCGGTGGCATAGGAACCACGTGCCCTGTTATTGTCAATCCGGTGTTTATATAAACTTACGTCTTGGTTTATTTGTTATGTGACGTAGTAATATATTATTATATCCAATAACCGTCGGCCGTATTCATATGTGTATAATATATATGCATATTGGATCGTATACATATACGTCGTCAAGCTGGTCCTATAACCATCTACCACACCAGTGAGGAGTGTCAATTTGGATCCGAGGATCGTGACTACTGGATACTCAGGTCTATAAGTTGCATTATTGTATTGTATACCATTATTTGGCCTTAAAGGTGAATTTAGTATTTATATTTTTGTACTATTTATTATTATAGTTATTTAGGTGCTATTTATTATATTGATTTTGGGGCCCCGTGTTACTTTCATATTATATTTGTAAGTTTGTTTGTAGCACTTTGTGACAGTGTCACATTAATATACATATTATTTATAATTTATATTTAATTGATCTTATAATCATTTGTTGTTATTATTGGTCACCCAGTTCATCTCTGTCTATCATCTGCGCAAGTTGCGGCAGAAAACTGCATTCTATCGTAAGCTCTGTCGCAGCGAAAACATAAGCACACTCGCTTCTGCATCCTGGCTTTGCACTCACTAGTCACAACTTACTAGTTGTTATTTAATTTAATATGTGTACCGATAAATAAAGTACAACAACTTTTATAGAACAGCATTTACATATTTTATAGTGACGAAATAATCCTGAATGCTACCAGCTTACTTTCTGTATATTTCTAAAATGTGCCCGTTCTTAATTACTAATTCATATAATTACCAAACATACTAAATATATTATACAATAATTCGTTTCAACACATTATTATTTTTTTATTTTAATTTTCTCCAATATTCGGTCTGGTTCTAGTATATCTGATTTTAACATTCGTTTCGGAAATTGAGGATTGATTATTTCCGGCAACAAACATTCCAAATAAAACCTAATACATAATAAATAATATATGTTACATGAGATCTTTTAAAATTCGATTAGATATTTAGATTAATTAGATTTAAAAATATGAAAATAACAATATATATTCAGTATTTAATAAAAATAGTTATTACATTTTCAATTGTTTCTCCATTTTATCCATCCAAAAGTTATTGTCATATTCGATTTCTTCGATATTAATCCAGTTTTTTGTATATACCACGAAAAAACATTTCTGTCGACAAGTTGCTCGTAGTTGTCCCATGACTTGGTAGAAATACGAGTGGTCTCTTTTGTTGTCTACAACTTTGCAGTATTTCAACTGAAATTTTATTAAATTACAAATAAGACAATGAAGTTTTTTTTAAAATAATAATGGTTAATAGTTTGTTATATTTTGTTAATAACTTATAGTTTTAGGTAATACATTAATATAAATTACAAATCATAGTAACACCTGTTTATTATTTATGGCATCGATTGCATTTTCTGTATTCTGAACTGAATATGGACACTTAATTTCAATCAAAGCGTCTTTTCCAATCAACCCATCTGAAAGTATACAAATTTGTTGATAGATCGTAAATTATGTAAAATGAAAAAATATAATTTAACAATTAATTTAATTTATACATTATTGCATGTTCACTAAAAAAAATACCTGGACTTGCTGCTAGGAATGGAATTTCAGGATCAATAATTAAGCCACATTCAATCACTTCTTTAGTAGTAATTTCTTCAAATTTTTGACGAGCGTTTGCCTCCATATTTCTTCCATATTCTAAAGATTTTGTGTAAGGTTCCGTTCCATATAAAATATTATAAACTGTACTTTTACAGCTTGTATTAGATCGCATTTTGCAAATTTGACCTATCTGGAAGCTGTAAGACGTGTTTTTCGTTCTTTGAACCAAATTTGAGTGTCACTTTGTCCTCTCGTATCTTTTTCAATTTGTGAAAAATTAGACCGACTTAATGTTTCCAGGAAATTTGTTTTTTTTTCTTCAATCTCTTTTTGAGAATACGAATCAATAAGAGGTTCAGCCATGCCGTAATCTGCATCTGGTCCATCTGAACGTTTAGTTTTATTTTTTCTAATTTCTGGAAATAATTTCCTCCTTTTAATTGTGTTGGCTCTTTTTCGATCGTAATTTAGAAGAAATCGCTTTCCAAATTTACCTTAAATATTTATGATTAAAAGTATATTGTACTAAATAATACCAGTTAATAGTTATCATAAATAAATATCAATTAAATAATAAATTAATAATTTAGTTTACCTGGACTACAGCTAGTTATCGTTTTGTGAATTGTTCTTAAATATTGCTTTGAATTAAAAGATACAACAGCTGCCTCCACTCTCGTTGTATAACTACCTTTTCCCGAGAAATTCAATCTTTTACCGGCTACGAA